CTCAATTTACTTTTTTTTTTGAAATTTCTTGGACATTCCGTCTCCCTAATACCTTACAGTACCTCGTTGCGTTTTGAGGACATTTTTGAAGGAAATTTTATTGAACATTACTGATTAACACAATATTCATCTATATTTCATGTCGAGCAAATGGAAATGCTCCCTTAATGCCACGGATAAACATTATACAATCATTAATGATGGATTTTTTAAAATTATTTTATTATATTTAAGCACGGATCATACATGACAAGTTAAAACTAGAGAGAATAAGTGAATCCCATAGACTAGGATTTAACAAATTGTTGCAATTGTTTTTTTTTTAACTCTAAAAAAACCGTAGGAATTAGTCAGCGCAGTAGAGTCGCCAAATGACAACTTTGCGCCCGACAGCTTATTTAAATTGGCCCTTCGCAGCGACGCAAGCCAGATCAAATTTGGGATCTCTCATATTTAATTTATTTGGAGAGCTGCGGTCTTTGGGCGCCGCCGCACCGACAAGCATTACTATGTAAATGACTTAAAGTTTGCTTCGTTAAGGGCCAGGTCTTGTTTCATTTACCTTGCGCAATGCAAACTTATTAACTCTATGGACCGAATAAACGGAAGAGGAATTGTTTCAGACTAACAAGATTTACGATTCCGTGGGCGGAGTTCGTGGATGATGGATTTTAATAAGTTGAAAATTGTCTGAAGCGAAGATTTATAGGGAAATCGCTATTTTGTATTTTAATTCCGCACGCATGAGCTAACAGCTATGGAAAAGGTAATATTCAACGGCCGGTTTTGTCGTTTACATCAAAGAGCTTTTCGATATTGCTGATATGCAAGTACAGTGTGACATATTTTCAAAAAATCTCTATGCTTTAGTAATCAGCAGACATATTTGATGAAAATTATAGTATTATTATAGTACCCTATGATAATAATGTTCTATCCAGAACGGTCCGACTCTCCATTTGATGGTATCACCCATTCCATTCATTTGAGAAACTACCGACTCGGATATTTCCTCACGTTTCAAGTTCCGTCCTCCTTTGGCCCAATACCTTAGCACAGTTGTATTTAGGGTCAAATATACTGTCCGCAGTTAAAAAGAAAAAGTGATGGTGAGGTTGGTAACTCACATGGATCGAGTAGCGCCACAGAACACGCAGACGGCGCACGAGGAGCAGGTTTTCACATTTAAGGAATCAAGTGCTATTCTGTCGTCTTGGAAATATGGACGTGGGTGTAAATTTAGTCTTTTTACCGTCTCCTGTGCACCCCAGGCATCTCGAGAAGAAACTGTGACGATTGATAAATGAAGCGATGATACCGGAGCATTTGCAAATAAATAAAGAGGGACATTTTAATAATTCAGATGCGTTTCTGTTTGGCTTTGCAAAAAAACAAGCTTTATACAGGTTCTGTAGATTCTAATACCAATAAGTAATACAGCAATTTCAGTTGCTGTAGATGCGAAGAAAAAAGTTTTTAAAGTTTAGTTTTAATTGCATAGTTGTACCAAAACTGAACAAAAATATTATATCGGGTGCTGACTCGATGATGAATGTAAAAGTTCTAATAGATTTTGCTAATTTATCTTTATTAATAAACAATTGGTAAACAATGCCGAAAATTTTAGCGAGTCTGAAAAAAAAACGTATCTGCTGAAGCGTTTTAAAAATATTTTTTCGGAAAATCTCGATGGAACTCATAAATATTAGCATACAATAGAAATGCGTTACCATTTAAAAAAAAAATCATATCCTACGCCATTTTATTATCGCAAACAAATAGAGAAGATTACTGACATATAACCGCTGTAGTTAAAGAAGATAAAAGTGTTCGTATATTTCTCTATGCGAAATTTTTAAATTCTAAAATGGTAAAAGATTAAGTCACTCCACCACATTAACAAGAACAACAAAAGTTACTACCGTTCGGCATTTTAATTTCAGTAGCGAGCTTTATATGCTGTTTAAATATGGTAGTGATATCTAAATTCAATGATTTTGTGTTAATTTGCGCAGACATGAAATAAACATTTGTTTCAACTCGAAAAGTTATTTTAAATTAAGAAAATCTGGTTTTGCATGTAGTGACACCTATATAGTAGCGACCAAGTGACACCTATATATCCTAATCGAGTAGAAGTCATTTATTATCTAACGCCGAGATACGAAGGTACTAAGACTTTTTTGGCTTTTATCAGTTTTGAGCGACGCTTGGTGGGTTGTTGGTAATGGGGTAAAATTGAAACAAAAGCTTTAGTAGAAATTTAAGAGAGGTTTATGCGTACAAGTGCTTTGTCACATCCTGATTTAGATAACAGCTTTTATTTACAAACTGACAGTTCTGGTTTGGTGGACTTAGGGGATGTCTTTACCGACTGGATAAAATTGATAACAAAAAATGTTTTATTGCATTTGCTAGTAAAAGTTTATGAGAACCACTTAACTACAATATTACAGAAAAAGACGTCATGCTTTCGTGTATGCGTTGATGCAGTGATCGTATGGCGTTATGATTTCTTATGACGGCTAAATTAGGCAATTCACGTTTAACACTGTGGATGTTAAATATTCAAGGATAAGGACCACTAATCTCGACATCCTATTATTATGCGAAAGGTGATTTTTATAGTTATATTCAAATTTCGGTGCTGAAATTAAGATGCGAATAAAACTTGTTAAAAGGACATATTAAAACACTTCAGTGTAGCCAATAAAATGAAAATTGGATTTTTGAAAAGATAGAAAATAAAAATGTCCAAAAAACAACAAGCTTTACTTAAGTGCCAAGTGGGACAAACTGCACGAAGGTTTATTATTTCGAAGAGGCGCCATGGTATCACAAAAGAAAACTTTCGAACATATGAAACATGAATCTTACGAGTCTGAATATCCAAAGCTGTGCATAAAATAGCTTTGACCTGCAGTCGGTGTCAAAAATCAAAGTTATCAAAAAAGAACGTTGGAATATAAATTTCTTTACCGTTGAATCGTCCGGAAAGATTGCTTAGATTTCATGGGTCCTCTACCTACTTCTCGTGGCGGAGTAACGCAATTACTAGTGGTAGTGGATGCGGGTTAAACATTATACATTAAAATGTGCCACAGCACCATCTATAATTAATATGTGGAAAAAGACCATTTTAACCAAATGTGAGTTCTTGAACGGAAATTGACTGATAGTGTTACTCAATTCCATCTTAAAACGTGGAAAAATTATTTTAATGGAACGGGAGTTTAAATTAACCATACTTCTGTCTATTTTATTATTTTAAGTTACGAGTTAAGTTTATTGAGTTTGAAAGTATAATTTGATAGGGTAGTATATGTGGTCCGCCCCATACCAGTTGTGTTTAGTGTAAAGTGTACTGTCAGAAGTTAAGATGAAGAGTTGGGACGTACGTGTAATTCGGTTTAAACTGAAATAGAGATTTCTGAAATTTCAAAACAAGGCTCAAGTTTTCTTATTTATTTTGTGTTCTTTTCCTCAATATCATGCTTGATGACTTTTACAGTAATCAAAATGTCTTCGCTGGGTGAAGTTTTCAAGGACGCATTAACGATGAAACTAAAGATCCTTTGTTTCCGGTTTTGACAGTTTTTAAATAAGCTAGACTGTTTATCCACAGAAATAAATTTCTTTGAAAGTAAGGGGTGTTTTTTTTTCGATGTATAGAACTTTAAGTTGCAACAAAACAACGATGGATTATTCGATTAACATAAATTTTATTTATCCGAAAGATATCTCGTGGCATTACATTTTAAATATGATTTCTGGCATATGACCGCCACTGCCGGTGCGGATGTAGTCTAACCTGGACGCCCAATTTTCGATGACTTTTTACAACATTTGTGGCCGTATATCGGAAATAACACGGCGAATGTTGTCTTCCAAATAGTCAAGCGTTTGTAGCTTTTTCGCATAGACCAATGACTTTACATAGCCCCACAGAAAGTAGTCTAGCGGTGTTAAATCACAAGATCTTGGACGCCAATTCACAGGTCCAAAACGTGAAATTAGGCGGTCACCAAACGTGTCTTTCACTAAATCGATTGTGGCACGATCTGTGTGACGTCTTGTTGAAACCACATCTCTTGGACATCATGGTTATTCAATTCAGGAATGAAAGAGTTAGTAATCATAGCTCTATACCGATCACCATTGACTGTAACGTTCTGGCCATCATCGTTTTTGAAGAAGTACGGACCAATGATTCCACCAGTCCATAAAGCGCACCAAACAGTCAGTTTTTCTTGATGTAACGGTATTTCGACATACACTTGAGGATTACCTTCGCTCCAAATGCGGCAGTTTTGTTTGTTGACGTAGCCATTCATCCAGAAGTGCGCTTCATCGCTAAACAAAATTCGCTTATGAAAATCGGCAACAACGGTAATCTCGTTTTGGGCCCATTCGACGAATCTACGCCTTACTTGATGATCGTTTGGCTTCAATTCTTGCACGAGTTGGATTTTGTAAGCACGTAAACCAAGATCCTTCCGCAAAATCTTCCATAAAGTGGATGGACACAGATCCAACTCCTGTGCTCGATGGCGGATGGACTCATTGGGGTCTTCCTCAATGCTACGCTCTACAGCAGCAATAGCTTCTTCTGTACGCACCGTACGGCGTCTCTGGGGACGCGAGTTATCAATAAGAATAAACGTGGTGCGAAAACGTTCCATCGTTAATCGAATTAACTGATGGACTATTTTGTTGACGATAAAATGGACGTAGTGCGCGATACGTATTCCGCACGGAACCATTTTTTTCAAAATAAAATTGCACTCTTTGCAAGCGTTGTCCAGGCGTGAGTCTACTCATGATGAATTGCCAAACCAAACTGAGAATAAATCATCTGACAGCTGCTAAATCGGTCCCCATCTTGAACAGTAATGCCAAACTAAAGTTCTATACATCGAAAAAAAAACATCCATTATTAATCCAAACCACCAAACGTTAACATGACAAGAAGAGTCACTCGCTGTCAGTGCTTTCTTGTGGTTAGGTCCGAAATGATGAGAAAGTCAAGAACACATATTACAGACTTCTTTTAACCTTTTCCGAAGATATTTTTGCACTCGTCGTCTACGTTTACATACAGCCTTGTCATCAGCAAGTGTCATGTTTGTTCCCAAAACCAAGCAAAACGCGCCCACCATAAATTGGGTTGCAGTTACAAGAACAGACGCAACTGGTAATTTTTGCTTGTAAATGTTACCTTAAAATTACTAACTTATATTACTCGCTTTAACTAATGACCATCATGTTCAAAGACTTGTTCGACGTTCCCTCGTGGTGACTGCCATACTAAACTTGACGTAACAAGCATAAAAGTAAAACACCAGGTGAGTTTTAACCAGACTATCATAACGTAACTTATCTTGTAAATGGCATCAGATGTAGAACATTAGTTCCCACCGCATAAGCCGTCAACATAGAATTTTATTAAAATCGTTTACTTTTAACATCTCAGTAACTATAAATTTCAATTCCGCGCGTTACTCTCCTCTCCACTTTGCCATTATCTATTTATTTTATTTACTCCGTTTGAACGTTGCAGCACAATAACAACGAAAATATGAGACGTTTACAGTGCGCTGTTATACGTATCTGTTTAACTATTCCGGTTGCACGGTCCGTCCAATATGTATGATACGGTTGGTGTCGTGTACAGAAAGGTAAAATGTTAAAACCTGACGTAATGTACGTCCAAACCAGAAGCGTAACTGCGCGAGTTTGCGATTAACTGTGACCTTTACAAATTTGCGGTCTGTGGAATGAGTTCCTCGAAATTAACAATTAGCACACGAAGCATACCAGATATTACAAAATGAAAAGAAACAAGAGGCAGCACCAGTTAATTTTGAAAGAGTGAAATAGGTTAAAGTCTAACGTCGACGAAAGAAAGTTCGGGATCAAAAATACACCTTGATCAAATTATGGTACATTTTTATTATAATGGAAAATTATTATCGTGAGTTTACCCTCCACACATCCACATTTTTTACCGCTCTCGAAAAAGCGCTGCTAAACATTCTAAAAGCAATCTAATCCCGTATTATTGCTAAAGTAATCCCACAACACCCGCCCCTGTCTTACGACACACCAGACGTCGCGCTTAGTATTCCAGGTGAAACTCGAAATGCTAAAGCGACTCTAGTTTAGAGTCGACGTGAGGTCGCGCCGGGGTCGCGTGGTCCTAAAGAACTTTCGAAAAGTAACTTTGAAATTTTAGGAAGTCGCAGCTGCGACGTGTAAGTAGTTTTACCGGCTCCGGAAAGTTGCGCTTTGATGGGGGTTATTAAATTAAAGTTTCTCCGGATTTTACACGTACACAGAGGTTTCAGCTTTGATGTCACACTAACTAGCCGACCAGCTTTCCTACATAATTTAAGAGTTCGTTATTACCGTTTGATCGTGAATCTTATGCAATCAACCTGAGAAAGGGGTCTTGTATTGTCCCGTAATTAGTAATAATTAGTAGTAATTAGAATTCTTTAAAGATATCGCATATTTTCAAAGGTATTTGATAATATAGTGTTTTCGCTATGAAATTGACGAAATATCGGCGGCCACGTTGATCACTTCTATTGGTTCAAAGTGAGTTTTGAAATGACACGTCACAACTGCCTGTATTATCAATCAGCATAGGCAAACCCAGTGAGATGTAGAGTAACATGATGTAGAGGTAGTTCACGAACTAACAGATTTTGTGTTTTTTTTCAACTTTTTTGTTTACATTTTTTACAGTTTTTCTGATATGAGTTTGTAGGGTCTTAAACTCAAGCCAAAATGAAACATTTTCATCTTTAACAGTAGCAATTGTTTCGTTGATGTTAACGTCTTATTATTTGGTGGTGTTTTTCTTAAATACTGTTCGCTACAATGAAAACTATAATTACGATTCTGTCTGTTTTTTAAAATGAACTGTTTGAAACTTCTTAGTATGTATATGGTTTAGTTGGGTTTGATGCATGTCTTGGGATTGGTTAGTTTTGGTTACATTTAGTTAGGATACATAGAGTGTTAGTTGTAAAATGACAAACAAATTATCGAGAACCAAATGGAAGGAAAGCGACCAATAGTAAGTTCTCGTAACAGATGGTTAGGCCACTCATCGCAAGCCTCACTTATGAGAAGTCAGTCACGATGGTCATCGAATGGTGTCACCATTTCCTCAAGTAGGACGAAATAAGAGGTTTCGGTCGAACCTTCCGAGTCTATGTTACCTTATCTTTTAGACTTTCAACCATGTACCCTGTTATTACATAACAACACACACTGAAGCCGATAAAACCGCAAACGTCTGGTCTTTAGCGCATGTTATATTAAACAGACATCCAAAAAAAAATCAAAAACTTCGAACCATACATCACCTTCGTTCGTGATGGTAAAAATTCCCAGGCATGCAATTTGGACAGAAATGTTGTGGTTTAGACGGAGAGTATAAAAAACCTTCTTTAAAAATCTGTTTCGATACATGCTCATCAAAATTAGAGCGAGGTTGTTTTTTTTTCTCTTTATTTAGGAATCTTGTGCGATATTATCGCAAAACCCTGTCGGGCATGTCCCGATTGAAATTTGACTACCTGAGTGTGTGCCCGTGCGATATTCATAAGCCGAATGGGTAATTATATTCGGAATGCGTTCCCCGAGAAAATTGTGTTTCTGGGGGCAATTTTCCGATAAAAAATCCAAGTCGAAAGACTGATACGATCGCGATTAATAATCGTAGTTCACTTGGTCTGTAATCAATCGTTTAATCCAGGTTTTATTCCGCATTTTTCAGGCTTACGGGTCCACCATACGAATTTATTACATCACGTCATTCTGACTTTTTAATACCATTTTAATTCTGACGTTAAAAAATGCCACGCATTTGTTGCATTAAGGGATAATATTTCGGAATTAATACGTTTGTTTATTCCGGGCCCGGCGGGATTAAAAAAATATGTCCGCCTCGCCAAAACGTATATGTAGAGACTGGTTGAATATTTATAAAAGAAATTTAAATTTGGTTTTAAATAGAGGCGTGGAAATTGGTGTTTTTTCAAGATCAGAAGGGTCCAATTATTGTTTTTCTAAATTTAAAAATGCAAAAGAGTCTACAAAATGTTTTATATTTATTGTGAATATGAAAATGCATAAACGGACGATTTTTGCTTTCACCTAAGTTAAAGTCCCCTGGGGTGGGGCTCTGTAATTCGTTTTATGTGAAGACGGAGAGAACATTTCGGTAATGGAGCATTTTTAAACTCTGCAAGCGCTTTCGGCTACGTACGGTGGAGCCGAACGTATTTCCGAACTTCAAGGCAAAAGATCGCTAAGAGGTTCTCTCTAAAAATCGCATCCGTTGTACGTGTTTATATTTGATTCGAATTATGTCAAAATTAAGAAAGACACAATGATTTGTCTTCACAATTACTGAACAGGTTGGAGTCAAAATATTTTTTTAAATTTAAAAGTGTCTGCATATATAAGGTTGTTCGGAAAGTCATTTCGTTTTTTCCCGTCAGAGGACTTAATTACGTTTTTTCGAAACCAACTTCACACTTAAGCCGCATAACCATTATATGTCTTGAGGGCTGATATTGCAAGGCTTGTGTGTGAAAAAGTTCTATTAATTCTACGCAGTAGTTTTTGGTTGGTGCCCTTTTAAATATGGAGAGCAATAAGCGGCATTTTCGTCATATTTTACTTTTTTACTTCAGAAAAGGTAAAAATGCTGTCCAAGCGAGAAAAAAATTGACGGATGTGTATGGAGAAGGCGTGTTAACAGTACGCCAGTGCCAGAACTGGTTTGCAAAATTTCGATCCGGCAATTTTGATGTCGAAGATGCACCACGGTCTGGAAGGCCGGTCGAAGCTGACAAAGATGCGATAAAGGCATTAGTTGATGCAAATCGGCGAATAACCACACGAGAGATCGGTGAGAGATTAAATTTGTCGAATTCGACTGTTTATGGCCATTTGAAATGCATGGGCTTAACCTCAAAGCTCGATGTGTGGGTGCCCCATGTCCTTACGGAGCGAAATTTGTGTCGTCGCGTTGACGTGTGTGATTCGCTCCTCAAACGTCAAGAAAATGATCCATTTTTGAAGCGGATTATTACTGGGGACGAAAAATGGGTTGTATACAACAATGTTAAACGCAAGAGGTCATGGAGCAGAAAAGATGAACCGGCTCAAAGTGTGTCAAAAGCCAACATTCACCAAAAAAAGGTGATGCTCTCTGTTTGGTGGGATGTCAAAGGAATCGTTTTTTTGAGCTTTTGCCGGACAATACAACGATTAATTCAGAAATCTATTGTCATCAACTGGACAAATTGAATGATTCACTTAAAGAGGAGAGGCCCGAATTAATCAACAGGAAGGGTGTAGTGTTCCACCAGGATAATGCGAGACCACACAAGTTTGGTCACTCGCCAAGAACTTTTACAGCTTGAATGGGACGTACTGCAACATCCACCATATTCTCCAGATCTGGCGCCTTCCGACTACTATTTGTTCCGGTCCCTGCAAAATTTTTTGGATGGCAAAACCTTTACCTCAAATGAAGATGTCAAAAACCACCTGAACCAGTTTTTTGCCAGCAAGGACCAAAACTTTTATGAGAGGGGAATTATGGTACTGCCAGAAAGATGGCAAAAGGTGTTGGACCAGAATGGCCAATATATAATTTAATAAAATATTTATTCATTATACGAAAACTGTCTTTCATGTTCCCCAAAAAAAACGAAATGACTTTCCGAACAACCCAATACTATTACGTAATGGTTTTGTGTTATGTAAAACGTTAAATTAGTTCCTGTTCCTGCAATATTGTAGTTTTATTGTCTGTGCTAATATTTGTTTCATATAAATAGTTTCCTTCTGATGTGTTTTTGTGGGTAATTAAAAAATGATAATAAAAATGCTACAACGTATGCGTCCAGATTATTTTATTGTCTAAAAAAAAGTAAAACCGCAGATGCATAAATAATTCTGTCAACTTTCTGAGGAGTATAACATAGTTTGCGACCCCCATTATGCATTTAAATCGATTTTTAAGAACATCAATACATCTTTCCACAGTACTTCGGGTTTGTCACAAGTTAAAAAATATAATCCTTTATCCTCGACTGAAGGAAACAAATATAATTAAAATATACCTCGAAATACATAGGCTGGCATAACAATAAATTAAGTGCTGAAGAATGCAACCTTCTTATCATATTCGTTCAAAAAAAATGATTGATATATACATACATACATAGTGAAGAGCGAAAAATAAAAATATGTAGAGCTTTCATGCAGCATAATGAGTTTCCAATCGCCAAAGCACGCCATATAAATGCTTTTGGGATGAAATCCTTTTCTGCTGACGTAGCATCCACATGAAAATGTGGTGTGATGATTGCTATATGAGTCCTATCTATACAGCTAATAATTGCTCGGAATCCACCTTTTTCCATAAAAGCTCTTTTAATTTGAGGATTTCCTTGTTCAGTTTGGAGGAAACAGTTCGAATGATTAGACAGTTGTTGACAGTTTGGTGAAAACAGATCCAATCATTAGACAGTTGTGGCGCAATTCTTGAATTCTTGAATTCTATCTCTCATTACTTTTTTGCATTTTTTTGATTTGAGAACCATCGATTCTCCTCGTTATGCAGTAAATGTCTCCAAACAGGATACATCTGTAATTTAAGTTGGGGATTATGGACACAAATTTTTAAAATTTTTATGTCCTAACAGGTTTCAGGATAGAATGCTTACATAACAAATACCTACCTGTAATGCGATTATTCTGTTATATATTTTATGCTAATTTTAATTAAATTAAATTAAATGTGCAAAAACGAAGTAACAAAGAAAATGAAAACGATTTTTGGTTAGGTGGGATTTTCTTCATTATTATTTCCATGTTTTTAACAAGAGGAGTATAATTATCCGTGCCCGACCGACGAAACGAATGGCGAATGATAGCCATGAAGTCTAGAGAAATGCTTACGGAGTAACCTCGGTATGTAACGACGGTTTCCTTTCGCGTCCGCATCTCTTTCGCTTAGGAATATGATACAAGTTACAGAGTCTCACTCCTGCTAACTTTTCTAATAAATTTGTATGAATATTCTTGTTTGGCATTCCTCACCTCGAACTGATGCAAAACGTGCATCCTTATGACAGTAACAATACATTTTATGAAATTTCGCAGTTGTAGAGAAGAATTTTGATTTGTTGCAACAAATTCTTTTATAACCTCAGAGCAAATTTAGGGAAGTAGCTAAATACATACCTAATGCTAGTTCGTGCAAAGTTTTAAAATCTACTCAAAAAATTGAAATGTTTTCGCAAAATTTATTCTTATGTCCGTATATCTACTAAATATATAGGGACCCTGCATAATCCTGATCATACAGGAATTTATGAAGCAGCAACGAAAAGAAATTTCGTTCTTAACCAAGACCTTGCGGCATCCAACAACCAACATGACCTAACTTACATTCCTATCTTTAGAAGAATATCATAAACACATCATCATTTTTTACCGTGGTTGGGTTAATAGCTATATGCTTCCACCTAATCCAATAGAATGTAAAACAAACCAAAATTTACGTGTAGCAGAGTGCAAAATGCCAACATATCTTAATACAAACTTTATCGATCAAAATGGTAAGTCCCCACAAAGAAAAATTGAATGTATGGTTGAAAGGCTGCCAAATTTTAACAAAAAGTTTTTGGTTATAAGTGATCAGATTAGAGTTTTAATACAAACTGTATAAAATGCGAACCTCTTTATTCAATTGGATTTCTATTTTGGTCTAATATATTTTATATTTTAGCCCTTCGCGTCCCACATCTATTTCGCCTACGTCGATACCAGGGAGATGACTTTGGAAATTGAATAACGTATATTTCATATCAGAATCAAATTGACTTCAATATATGGATCCGGAATATGTGTTCATGTAGTTTGAATTTTTCAAGAAATTCTTTACTTCGGGCTCTGGCCGGTAACGCGCTCTAACTTACCGACCAAAACTTAGTATGCCATAAACATCTAAGTAGCACTAGTAAATTTGGCCTAATATTAAAAATATTTTCATTTCTGCCCTTGAGTATTAAAACAAAAGCCAACTGTATCGATAAATATATTTTTTTTTAAACAAGGAACAAACACAGAAGCATAACTGGTTGCTTACTTCGAATGCGATGTCTTCTAGGGTTTGCTAATTTTACGTTCTATGCCTATTATTTAGATCTTCTGAACCAATCAAAATGTTGTACTCTAATTATGCAAACAGTTATATGCACGTGTATTTTTCATTCTATTGGGAGGAAAAATGCCGCATTGATAGATAAATTTTGTAATTTTGTTAATGTATGTAATGTTAATGTATTAATATCCTCAAAAATATCGTTTTGCGTTCTAAAACAAAACATATTCGGCCATTGACGTGTACGCATGCAAAATGCCACTATCAAAGTTTTGTCACGTATTATTTTATGAAACGCACGCGGGCCGAAGGGACATCGATTTGTAAACGTATAAAATTTAACAAGAGGATATTGCAATTTGGGAAGGTTTGTACGTGATAAATGTTCGATTTTGCATAATTATAACGTGGCGGATTCGGTTTAGTGGGTGCGAGATGTTGCAAAAATCACGAATTCGGCGGGACCATAATACTACTAGATAAAGACCGTAAATACGATACAATTGTCACCCCTCACGATAGAATGATCGCTCGAATTGACGGGTGGTACTGTCCGCCGCCATGTTGTGCATGCGCGTATGCGTAAACAACATATCGGTGCTGCTAAATAAATAAATAAATAAATAATAAATAAATGTATAACGCAATAATAATAAAAATAATTATATTTTGTCAATTGGTAGCGACATTTAAAAAAATAAAAGCATAATTTTGGATCAAATACTTAATTATAATAAAAATAATAAATTCGTTGCTTATACGATGTACACAAAAAATATACATGCTGGGATATATGTATAGAAATATATCGGTATTAGCAATGAGTAGTAAAATGTTAACAAATTCAGATATCTAGCAATGCGCGCTTGATACTGTTAAAGCCCAGAATCAATTAATGAAATATACTTATTGACTAATAAATTTGGTATGAAAAAGACTCTCATTTGATAATTTTAACAATAAAATAGCTTATATATATAAAATAGTTTATATCTATTAAACATGGTCAGCCAGTCTGACCTTCTGATATATGGTCTAATGTGATTTCTGATGATTTATTAGGGTTAAGCTTAATAAAATGTATTTAATTAAGAGAGAGATATTTGTTTCATGGACAATTTGTTCAGAGAAGGAAAGACAGAGAGTGTCATCTGAGTAAAGATGATTGTGTTTTAATACAACCACACGTGAAAATCGAAAATAGTAGAGGGACCAAGATACTGCCTCTAACAGGCAATGAAGTCGAAGCTGATTCGTCAAGTACCATAGCTCGTTGTATGTTATCAGTTAAAAAAACGACGAGATAAGCGCACAAGACATATCGCTGAATCCGATGTAATGTAATACTGAGACGAGAATTTCATGATTTATCATATCAAACGCTTTAAAATAGATTAATATCAACGGTTCTCCCAATAGTGAACCTGAAAATGGAAGCAATGCAAAAGATTTTAATAATTTATTGAAAGTATTACGGATGTTGACATCGATAAAAGCAATAATATATACTTGCACAAGTATACCTGAGGGAGTTTGTCTTTTGTCCTGTGGACGAAATGAAGGTCGATAGAGCCATAAGACAAAGACAAATGCGCGGAGTAGTGATGAGATGGATATTAAAATGATAAATTAAATAACTCACCACATAACTTTTTTTGTCATTAGCTTCATAACTTCCAATAAGTTAACTACCTCTGGAATCGCGATAATGTGATTCCCATTCCAAAACACAATAATTATCAGTGCTTATGTATGAAGAGCTTAATGAATATTTCTTGCAGTTCGAACTTATCCCTTCAACATAGCAGCGACCAAGGAGTGGAAACCTGCCTTATACTTCTAGAATACAGCCAGACCTTGGATTCCTTGAATCACGATGTTCTTTGCGCTAAACCCCATTACTTCGGTCTTAGCAAGTTGGCCATGTGTCTCATTCAAAGCTATTTAAAGGGAACGAACTCAGAGAGTATCCTTAGGCGGCTCATTTTAACCAATTTCGGGAGGTTCCGCAGAGGAGTATATTGCGCCCCTTATTATTTTCTATTTAGACCGCGAATCTTGCTGATCACTTAAAATATCTGAAATCTCATCAGTATGCTAATGCTATGCAGTTATATTTATCGTTTAAGTTTGAAAACTCACTGCTGACCAACAGCCAAATTAATTCTAATTTGCGAGTTGTTTCAAACACTTCTTGTGTCCACGCTCTTCTCATAAATACAGCGAAAACTAAAATATTATTTTTTGGAAAAACCGCTAGCTCGTTCAAGAGAACTTATAGGAAACTAAGAACTCTCTATATATTCAAAGATATTTTAAATACAGACATCAAACTAAGGTTATGCGACTCTCTTATCTCTCTTTTGTCTTACTGTAATGTAGTATGCTGACCTGCCCTCTCAACAAAGATCAGATAAGACTACAAAGACTATAAAACACTTGTCTAAGGTTTTGTTATAATACTAGGATATTTGATCACATCAAGATTCCCTATCCACAGATATTTATCAGAGCTCCCACTCGTCATAATTATCTGTATACTGTCCCGCGGTACCGTACCGCTCTCTACCAGTGTTGTTTCAGCTATGACGTCACTAAATATTTCAACTCCATTCCAAATGATATCAAGTGCTGCTCGGCCGCTTCCGACTTTAAGAAGCATCTTGAAACTAATCTAGTGTCCAATCAATACCATTTTTTTCCTTTTTATTTTGCTTTTTTCTGTAGTTCCATGCGGCACCTCCCTTCTATTGAAGTGATTAACTATTTTTACGGTTATAAAAATTTATTTGAGTTTTTTTTTGTTAAAATGTGTTTAAATATATTTTTATAACCCCTCTTTCACAGTGATACAATCAAGTTAATGTAGATTAATTCATAAAATCTTTTCATTCGTGGTGGTTAAGTGAATAGCCACCCACCTATCTTATACTCTTTTATTTCTTATTGTTTATGGATATATAAATAAAGACCTGTTATTATTATTAAATGGAATTAATATTAATTAATAACCGGTGCGGTAATATCCCGGAAATGTCCGAAATGGTTCGGATCCATGGGAAACGAAACTGACGTGGTAAAACGACACTTTCCGCACCCTAAATCGGTGTATAATTCAGTATTTTACAGAATGGAGCAGTATGATGAACTGACCCAAACAATTTCAAAATGCTCAGACAGAAAAAGTTTTACGCGTCTTGGATTATTAATGTCTCGAATCTCAGTACTTTCTGAAGAACCCACAATACAGAGTGCAGATGGATAAAACATTGAGAAATAATTACACGTAATTTCTTATTGCAATTATCTGTTATTATTATTAACATGTATGACCAAGAAAATAAAAATAAATAAAATTTGACTTACAAAATCGATACTGGTTGCATTACCGCCCCCATTCCAGTTTAAATCAAAACTTTTTGTCTTGTTTTTGGAGGTTCTGAGAATGACACGAATGGCTTCGTAGAGTCTTGTATATGATAATGTCATTCCCTTCATACGTTTGTGTTTTTATTCGATTTTGATTATCAACGGGACCGAAGCGTCATCCGAGTAATACGTGACATTCCTAAATAAATTGCACCCCGTCGCCGCCGAGGCGAAAACAATCAAATTAGCTCATCCAATAAAACCAGGGACTAATTTCGCCAGAACAGTACGCCACGTTCAGACGTTCAGAAATTAAGCTTAATACCGTGTTGCATCCTAAAACGCCCGTTCCTAATAATATATTCCCGCGCAATTAGGACAGAACACCCTCCAGCGACTTAAGGTACGGAACCCGCAATTGCCTAGAATTGCCCCAAGCTCTCTGCTTAAACTGGATCCGTTATGACAGACACGCAAAACTGATAGAAGTAGACACGAACGAAATTTATTATTAAGCTAATTGTTTGCGAAGAAATCTCGCGCCACTTCCTGTATGTAGGCGCGAGCAATTAGCAAAATACATAAACCCTCAATATTGCACAGTTTACATTCCATAAAGTCAGCACTACGCAGCGTTAAAAAGGACCGGAGTTTGTCGAAATGTCTGTACCTACTTTTACAACGTGGATGACAAGTTAGCCGGCTTTGGAGTTTCAAGTTTGATCATTCGTCTACAGACTTGAATAGTATCAGAATTTAATGCTGTTATTGAAAAAGAAGCTGTAGAAATGTGCATTTAGAAAGATCTTGTCTTGTGTCGGGATGTAAAATCGGTCATTTCAACGTAAAAGCTGGAAGTAAGAATTTAATATGAATATGGTTGGTTAGTCTAAGGTAGCAAGGTTTAATCTTTTTAGATATCGCCCAATCTTTAGTTACTTTTCAGATTTAACAATCATTAGTTAGTTAGTATAAGATAAATATGTTTTTTTTTATTTTGAACCTTTTTTGAACCGCGATTGAAGATGCCCTTTAATTTTTTTTTTGAAAGATAGTTCTCTATTCTAACAGTTCTAATATTGTTTACCAAATTTAATTTTAAATTTTTTTAAAAATATTTTGTTGCCATTTTTTTATGTCAATATTTTAGGTTTAGTTTAGGAACTTTTCTCTGTTATGTTTCTTTTGAACATGCAAGGTTTCTTATATGGCATTTTTAATGAAAGGATTATGTTGAAAACCTACTTGGGACTAAATTTTTTTTGTTATATTATTTAATTGGACTCATCAAATTTTTTAGTTCAAAGTGAAATTGTTTTCCGCTGAAACTTATAAAAAGTTTGAAACATTTCCAAGAGTACGACCGTTC